TGTGTGTGTGTGTGTGTGTGTGTGTGTGTGTGTGTGTGTGTGTGTGTACACCACTAGGGGCTCCAATCTCTCGTCATGTCTCATCTGTCATCCTTATTAGCTCCCCACGAAGGTGAATTACTTACAAAGCAAGATTTCCTTTCTTTCCAAACTATGGCTACAGAATCTGCCGGGCATATTGTCTGGTTGTGTTCTATTGATGATACTGACCTTTACTTGTACTTGCATATTCCCTCTTCGTCTCCCCCCTTACCTGCTCCCGCTTTCACACTCTCACGACCGAAAGATATCACAAAATCAACACATATCAACACTTTTTCCTTACTCTTGGATTTTTCTGGTGTAATTGCGTAGACAGGGCACAGGGGAGGACGACGTCGTCGTTGTTTTCCACAACTAGGTGCCAGACAAAACCCTTGGAGATGGATTACAGAGGTGGACGAGGGAGTTGTAGTGGGAGTGGCTACTGACGAGGGATGGAGCCCGGCTGACTCGGCTGTTGTTTTACATAAATCACGACTGGGGTAGAAACCCCTTAAGACAGAGCCGGTGCATTGTCTCCTCTCTCTGGAGACTGAGTAGTTAATTAGAAGCAGTGAGATAAGCGTCTAGGACTGGAGTGTGTGTCGGCCTATGCGTGTGTATGTGTGTGTGTGTGAGAGAGAGAGAGTGCCCGAGAGAGGGTACCAAAGCAGAGAAAATTGTGTGTAATTGATGACTGTGCCTAAATTGGGAGACAGAAATATAAACGATATATACTGTAGTCATTGTAGATCCCACATATGAACTCAGCCTGGGTATTGAAGTATTGAAAGTATTGAAAAGTGTCCAGCATTAAAAATTGGCATCTAATTCTTAGGCTTGTTTACTTATCCTCTGATCAGATATTTCCTGATTTCAGTAAAAAAAAAAAAGAATTTACTAACTGTAGACAAAAGTCTTTAAAGACCTTGCTAAACCAACCAATATCTTTATGTTAACTATGTCTGAAATGAATATGTGTAAGAGGGGTAACCCGTCCGCAGCTCATCTCAACTCTACGGAGCAGTTTAGGATTTTTCAGCTCATCGTTTAACAGCCTGTTACTTCGGTGTCTTGCTTCACTCTCACAGCTCTCATCAGTGTTGTTTCCAGCTGCTGCTATTTGAGCCCGCTGAATGCTACCTACTCAACACCCATTGGCAGACAGACACAGTTAGTAAGCTGGTGAATAAGAAGGGGAGTATTTACAGAGTTAGAAATGTCCCTCAGGAATTGAGGGAAGTGAACATACACTTGTCAGCTGGCCAGAAACACAACTCCAAATGAAAGCTTATGTATGTTACATTGTGTCAGCTACACGTGTAAATAAGGAACAGTTTGCTAATATGTTCACCATATCATCTTTTTATGTCTATATTGCCCGCAAGTGGCAAAAAAACTATTATTTACTGCTTTAACGGTGATTAAATTAGCAGTTTTGGCCTACCTGACAAAGGGTTAAAGCATGTCTGTATTTCCCAAACTAAGGTATTGAAAAGTTTTACTGAAAGGTTTTGATATCAGCTCCGTGATGTGATTTAGGCTTCATAAAAGCACTGATCAATACATTACCCAACGTGTTCACACAGTACCCAGCTTTAAAGAATGAGCAGAGATAGAGGAAAAACAACACAAACTAATGAGGTGTAGCGGCAGCCTGAACAATGTAGAGGAATCTGAATTTTTAACTGATGGTCTTTCCAATTACTGTCACATTTTCTGCTAAACTAATTAGGTCCTTCAAAGTTTGCTGCTTTGTAAAATTCCACTTGGATTCAATCCGACTCTCACCCTACGCTCAACCCCTCTCTGTTATGGTGTTTGCGATATATTCCTATGAGACGTACCGTCAAGTCTTTGCTGCAGTCTGTTGGTTTTGATTGCATCTCAATGGGCTTCTTTTTGGATCCAGTTCCTTTTTAATCTTGCAAAGCGCATGATAAGCTAATGGTGTACCACTGCACAAAGGCTCTGAAGAGCTCTGAAAACTATTATGCCGGCCTCCGCTGTGGATAAAACTATAGATGAATACCACATAGTGAGATTCTCAGTTGCAGTCGTGGATCATAAGGAAGCGGAAAATAGAGTAAACTCTACTATGAACTAACTTGATGTTAAGTACAGTGCTCCCTCTGCGTCTTAAAACCATCCGACTGTTTAACCAACAATGAACAATGACACTAGTTTTTACAATTAGCAGCGCTGACCGCTACCTGCAAACCCTCGAGTCTTACAAATAAAAAGGCTGCAGTTAGAGCTTGGCTGTGCATCCTGATAGAACGAGCCATGAACATCACGCTCGGCTCATTAATGTTGCCCGAGCTGAGACTGTTACAATATATCAGGCTCAGAAACTGCATGACGATGTTTCTTCTTGCATTTCTTTGCAACAAGGCTCTTGAAAAGAACATTTTCTAAAAAATGTTGTCCACAAAATGTAGCTCATTACTTTTTTGACAAGCATTTAGGCGTCTCCACACCAGAGGTGCCAGCAATGCCAGAGGACTCTGTGCATTGAGGGACAGTCACAAACAGCTCCACACCCACTGCCTCAGCTCATCTCACCCCCTCTTTTCTCTCTCCCTGGCATATCTTCTTGTGTAATTAACAAGGCTTAGAACACCCTCACAAATACTGCTCATGCTCACACAAAAAAAAAACACACATTCACAACCCTGCGCTGCATGCTGTCAGTTTCCTTGCATACAGACTTTCCATGCATGTAATTAACATGGATTGGGACACAGTGTTTTCTTATGCCAGAACTGCTTTATTAACCGGAAGCACAGTGACTATGCATGTGGGTATATGTGTATGTGTGTGTGTGCGTGTGTTCGTTCGTTCGTTCGTTCAAAAGACTGGCACATGCCCGCATTTTCTGGCACACACACACACACAAACTGCAGCATATTGTACATCAGTGCTACTCGGCCGGGTAGTGGGGAGGTGACATCAATCAGACTAAAAGCAGGGAAGCTGCCTTTGTGTGTGTGTGCACACACACACACACGCACACACACACTTAATCGTGTATACAAAAAAGGACCTCTTTGTGTAATCCTTGCAGCGGTATAGAATTACGAGGAAGAGAAAGGGAAGGAGCACGAGCGAGAGAATTATCATTCCTTTCTTTAACTAAATTATCGCTTCTCCAATTAATAGCATTTTCATTAGAGAGAACAGAAATAACAGCATTTTGGCAGAAAAGGGTGGACTCTCTCTCTCTCTCTCTCTCTCTCTCTCTCTCTCTCTCTCTCTCTCACACAACACACACACACACAGACTTAGTTGTTAGCTCATAATAGATGCAAAATGTCAACATTTAAACCAAGACTTACTCCCGGCTACTAATTCAGTCGTGACTTTCTTGTAGGCTAAATGGCTGTTTGTCCTTAATCACCGCTGAAACAGATGGAGCGACTCGGACGACGGGGAGTATAGAGATGCCACATTATGCAGCTCTAGCCCAGTCTAAATGACCCAACACTTCTAACTATATCACAACTTCATCTCCCAACATGCTTCACCAATTACCGCCACAGAAGGTCAAAAAGGTGATGGAATACACAGACAACTCATAAATCTCAAGGACAGTGATGTCAGCAGAGAAAAGGGCACACACCAGCAATCACACCCGACTTCAGTCCCCTCACCCAAAATTACACATTCATCATCACAAAATGAAAATTAAAAAAAAAAAAGAAACAGGCTTGGGGGGGTGGGGGGCTTCAAGCTATTACCTTTTGACTGTTTTGTCATACAACCCTGAAGTGTCAAGGTTGTTCATCTCTGATTCTGCAGTGGCGCCTCTGCAGTGTGCAAAATGTGAGAAAACAAAAATAGCACTTCATTTCACGTCTGACAGCCAATTATGTCATGTTGCTGATTGGCCTATCTTCGTCGTCACAGAGAGCACTTCCTCTGTCCTCGTGAAAGACAGAAAATGTGCACTGCCATGCTGTAGTTGCCACAAGTGTAAGAGGATCTTTTTTTGGGGGGCTGGGTCTAAAGGTCATGTTTTCTCCTCATCATTAAAGCCCAGCATGCATTTTATATCACTGCTGAAGTGTGACAAGTCATTATCATTACCACGTCTCAGTCTCCTCCCCTGTCTTTTTTTACACATCTTCCTCCGGAAATTTCCCTCTCTTCACTCGTTCTCTCTACCTAACGCCGGCCCCTCTTCATCCCACTCCGCTCTGTCAGTATCTCCATCCAGCTATTTTTGGGTGTTCATCTCAACCACCTGCACACCCTCTAATTAGTTCACATCTGTGTCTGAGCCGCACCATCTCAAGCACACATTCACTGATACAATACAAATGTGCAATGCATGCACAGCTGTACACAGCACTACACATGTGCACAACCGACTGCACGGTTATTTTCTTAGCCCTAGTGTCCTAATTATTCTCCCTCTGTTGAAGTTCATTGTTTTTTTTTAAAAGGCACCTTCATAACACACACGGGTACTAAAAATAAGATGATCTAACGATCTAAAAATGTAACTGGTTTCTGCAGCTGTTATTCTAATCAATCACATTTTTTTCCAGATGCACTTTAATTAGGAAAATTACACGACAATGTGGAATATCTTAATAAGACTTGACAGGTCTTTTTTTGGTGTTGTTGCTCACGTTGGCCTCACCGCTTCTGCTGTGGATGATCCAGATGAAGATGGCGACTGTTTTTAAAGATTTCTTTGAGCTATACTTATTGAAAGTGCACTCGTAGTAACCACGGTGCTTGTGTGTTTGTGTCTCTCCAGGGCTGCGTAGTAGTTACTCTTGCAGTGTCTGCAGTGTGGTCCTCAACTCCATCGAGCAGTACCATGCACACCTCCAGGGCTCCAAGCACCAGAACAAGTGAGTACGACAACTAATGACTCGACTGACTAGCCATCCATTCATCCAAAACGCTAAGAAAGAGAGACTTTCTGGAACAGACGATCTGACGATCACGTCCACTTCATGCAACGATTGCCGAGGTGTGCGGAGGTGTGAAAGTTGGCGGTTTTGAACTTCACTCTTAAGGTCTTTAATTTTTCTACATTTGTACGATTGCCCCGAGGCCATGAAGACACAAGCACTCTCAGTGAGACATCAGCGAGGCCGTGCAATGCATCCAGGAAGAGGCTATGATGACGGGCTTTTATCGCCTGTGAGTGCGGCCATTTATAACACATGAACACTTTGGAAGTAAACACACAATCCTTTTCATGTCCTAAAGAGGTGATGTATATGATGTCACGCTACGGTCATTGTCTGTCATATTATGTTAGTTAATTAATTGTTAGTTATGTTTCAGTTTCAGCCTCGCAAATATGGAGATTGTCTGCTTTTCTTTCTTTATATCACATCAAACTGACTGTGGGTTTAGGACTGACAAAACAAGACATTTAAAGACATCAGCTTCACTATTTTCCTTACATTTTATAGACCAAACAAATATTCGATGAATCTAGAAAATAATCAGCTGATTAATTGTTAGTTGCAGCTACAATGGTTAAAAAAATCCGCCATTCAATCAATTGCAAAACCAGGTTGAGGAAGAATAAGTTCCGTACAAACTGTGGAGGGCTAAAGACACAAGGCATGGTTGGCATAGTTTGTGATTAAGATATATCCAAACATTAGACTATTTTTTTCCAGACAAAGAGATGACAGCCTTAGCATTTCATCTGCGTTGTTTGGTGGACTATGACACAAGGAAACGACTGAGAGGCTGACAGTTCCACTGGGCAGCATTGGATGTTGTGTGTAGGGCTACATTTCAGATATCTGATGAGTGGAACAGCACAGATGACATTCATTTATAATGCACATACAAGCATGTGGAGCAGACTCAGGCGGCGTGACGGGAACAGTGTTATTTATTATAAAGAATGACAGTCGCACAATGAGATTGGGTCATTTTTTATTTCGGATTTTTGAAAAATGTATTCACAGCCAATGTGAATATGTGTGGAATATGTGTGGAATATGTATGGAACGGTTACATTTCATGCATTTACCATGAGATGGCTCTGGGCATGGTTATAGGTGCTGTTGTGGAGTGTGTGCATGTAGGTGTGTCTTTGTATTTACAGCAATGTAATGGAAATTAAGTGCGTTATGAATGGAGTATTTGTTCGGTAAAAGGTTGCTTGAGGACAGAAGTTTGTTGTTGCGGCACATCAGCTGAAACGTCTGCATTTATCCGCCCTGAAGCTCAACTTGTCTGGGCAGCACAAACCAAACTTCAGCAAACAAGTTAACCGTCAGCAAGTGGTGGGTGTAGTGAGAACAACAACGGCAGTAACAAGGATGAGAAAGGCAGAGATGAAAAGAAAAGAAAGTAAATAGTATATATATTTTCTTTTAGCAAAGGGTCAATTCCAAATGCTTCTATCCAGTAGTCACAAGAAAGAGCACAAGCATGTATTATTGAGATGGTAATCATCATGTATTCTCTGTTAGCTACATAGACTATACAGTGTGTGCTAAATATGGAAACTAGTTATAATTACCACATGTTTTCTCCTGTCTGTTTTAGTTTCGGTATATGCATTACCCCAAACAATAATTATGCATTAACATGAATTATTATGAGTTATTCTCAGACAGATAACGCCGTTTGTTGTGTGTAGAGGGAGCATGTATTGTGGCGACGCTGTCCTGGGTGCTGAAACACAGCAGAGGAGATTTATAGATAGACAGACAGGTAGGGCTGGCTGATAATTCAATACGACCGTTGATCATCTTTCAATGGAATCATATCGTGATGAAATCATATATTGAGATATCGTGACACACAAAATTGATAACAACTACAGAAACTTTGATCAAACTTAGCTAGATTTTAGATCTTAGTCTGATTATTCTGTATTTGTATGTATGTAAACACCAATAGATAGATAGATATACAGATAGACCGATACAGCAGCATTATGATACAGGTAAGCAATCAAAATAACAGAGTAAAAAATATTAAATGTAAAAAATGCACAATGTATACAATGACATAGAATATTAAATGAACCAACTAAACAGTAGTGCAGACAGAGATTTTAAACCAACAACAAACAAACAACCGTGTAACAGAGTTATAGTCTTGTGAATGATCTGGCCAGAGGTGATTTATTATAAAGTCTTATTGCAGTGGGCAGGAATGATCTCCTGTATCTGTCCTTGTGACAGCGGAGCTGGATGAGTCTGTTGGAGAAAGTGCTTCGCTGTCCCTGCAGTAGGTGGTGGAGAGGGTGGTCCGGGTTATCCAATATGGATAATAGTTTCTGTGTCTTCCTCACCAACACCTTTTCCAGACTGTCCAGTTTGCAGCAAATGATGGAGCCGGCCTTCTTAACCAATTTGATGAGTCTGTTGGTGTCTCCGGCTCCAATGCTGCTCCCCCAGCAGACTACGGCAGTACAGTGCACTGGCCACAACAGACTGGTAGAACATCTCCGTCAGGATGCCGTTCATTTTGCACAAAAGTACTCAGTATTTCTTATTTGTAAAGTATTTAATTCACACAAGAGTATAGAAAAATGGACTTTACCATGTGGTTATTTCATATAGACAATTTATTGAATTAGCAGAAAACATTTTTATATCATGATAAATATTGTTCGAGATATAAAATGACCAATATTGAGAGAAGATGTTTGCCTTATCGCCCAGCTCTACACAGTCTCCACAAAAACCAGGTCTTTTATTTAATTTGTTGGCATAGGCTACAGTATATTCATTTACTATTTTGTTTATAGGCCTACATATGAGCACATTTGTTTTCATGAGCTATTGCTGTAATTTATTTGTACATTGCAGATTTTGTTGCCGTTTTCGTTTCATTAAAAAGGAAAATCCTTGAAGTCAGATTTTTTTTTTGCCCTCATCTCTTATTAGTCAATAATAGCAACGTGAAGTACAATATCAGTAAATAATGACCGCAAGTTTGAGGAAAGTTAGACAGCTTGTGTTGTCGTCATCTCCCCTCCCACACTGGTGTTTTATTGAACGTGCTTATACCGGGACTCAAGCCTGATGGATACAACAGGATGCTCCGCATGTAAAGAATTCATATTTACAGAAGGCACGTCTCATCAACTAACCCATACCACGAAGCAGAGTACCGAATGCCTAATTCACTCACTCTAAGTCAGCCTGGATAAGGGTGTCAGCTAAACTCCTAAAGAGCCTGATTTTCGAGATGTATAATATCTCTGCACAGAGGCTGTAAATCACGGGAAAGTGCCTCATAACTCTCTCCTTCCGTCAGTTATACTGTCGTAAAGCAGAAAAGAGGGTGAGGAGAGAGTAAGACTGATGGATACAAAGGAGAAGTATGCAGCAGAGACAGAAAGACACATCGTGTTTGAGACAGAGGCGAAACAAATGAAAAAAAAAAAAGCATAGAGCTGAAAAGTGCAGGAGAAAGTAAAACTAAATTGTGGCTGAGACATAATCTCCTAAAATTGAACTGAAAATTGGAGCCAGACAGATAAGGAGCAGATTTAGAGTGTAAATTGAGGCGAACCCAACCCAGTGTCGCTGACTGCTGCAGGGCTTTGCTGCTTAGGATGGAGAGGACGGATTGACAGGACATCGACGGATAGAGGGCAGCGAGAGACAGACAGACAGAGAGGTACCAGGGAGATTTACAGGGTAGGTGATGATAGGTCACCGGTATGAAGGGGGAGAAAGCACCTCATCTGCCTGATCAAGGCTTATGGGAAGTATTCTGAAGTGGAGGAAGTTTGGTGGAGAAATGTGCAGAGCTTCAGTCTTATTTCAGAAGGAGAAGACATAATTCTGATATAAAAGATATAATTCTTTAGGTACGTTAAGGAAGCAGTCTCATGATGTCTTTGTGGTTATTATCAAATGGTTACTGAAAGAAGAGGAGAGCAGGATTTTAACACACTGCACGGCAAGTTTGGAAAGAACTTAAACAGACAACTCCCTGCATATTGATTTCCACCCAAGAAAGAAATAATGGCATTTTCATGAATCGCATATCAATTTGTGATATCTGTTCTGTCTGGGACATCAAACAGTCATGTAGGTCACGATGCGAGTGTAATTTCAATAGCAATTTTGTCTGAACCAATATTTAGAGGTTGCCTCTCTATTTCTAATGTATGGATTGTGCCAAATTCTCTTGAGCAGCGTCTGCAGTATTGCTGACTTACAGTGTGCATAGAGTGTGAAAAGGTCCATGAGAGAGCCCTCAAAGCACAAGCGATTCTTCAGCGCAACAGCCCTCGCAGACTTATTTTGCGAACGTACGCTGAATTCAGTTAAGTCCACGAGGGTGAACACACTGGTACTGGAAATAAGTCTTGCCAGCTCTGTTGGACCGCCGGATCAATCCTCTGGGGGAAAAAACAGAACAAGACCAAAGGTTCCACCTCATCGACCTCACTTCCTCTGCCTTCACCCAGTCGCTCAGATGACACACAATACGGGTAATGTGTGTTAGAAACCGCTTCGGGCTCAGTCTCTCTTACTCACATACCCTCACCCTCTCTACATCAATGTGCATTACATTTTAGCCTTTGCAACACAATAGTATGTGGGCATGATATGACAGCAAATAAAGCCCCTTTCACACTGTCTGCTGACATGGGAGTGTAAATGCTCTCATGCATGCACGCACACACACACACACACACACACACACACACACACGAACACTCTGGCTGCAGCATAAATGACTACCTCTAAGGCATTGCAAGTTTCGAACTAAGAGGAAATGGGCTCATGAATAAGGTGTGTGTATTTTTATTGTGTGTGTGGGTTTCTATGTGGATAAGTGTTGGTTTCTTATGCAGCACACGTCGTAAGCACAAAATTCTTTACCAAGTCTTATTATGGATTGGTGG